CATCGATGTGTTACGAATGGAATAACTTCAACACATATCATTTTGGTGGTTGATATAAAAGAGAGACAAATTAATGAAATTAATATTTTATGTTACTTAATACCTAGTAATTACCGTTTATTAGCATTAATTATACAGATACTAATCTGTAGTCTACCGTTTTGTATTATCAAATACTTATTAGTTGCAACTTTTAGAATTAAATTAAAATTTTAAGCAATTGAAAAGTCAGTCTGGTGTTTTAAATCAAGCATTAAAGAATGACAACCTATAAGAGTGCTAATACCTCCTTCTTATACTTCTGTACCATTTTCATTATTTTGTCGGTTTTAAATTTTGAAGCCAATGGTATTTTAGAGATTGGCCTCTTAAATGAGAGAGAACACATAATGGAATTTGTTGATGTGGCATTTTTAATGACGAAACGATATATAAGTCCGAATACCAATACAGTGATAATAACAGGAAAATGTGATTATATTTGTAAAGAGATGAAAAAGTATTACTCAGCTCTAGTATACAGTGTTATGAAACAGTTAAAGGATACACTTAGTGTCCAACTGCATTTAGGAGAAACTGATGATTGACCCTGGGATTACAACATATTTGTGGTGGATTCGTATGATACATTTCAGTTGAGTTTCAATTATTGGTTATAAAGAAATAATCGAAATATTAAACCTTTTCATCATATATTTAGATTGCTAAAATTTAAAATTCCCTATTCAAGTTATGAACGTGATTTTTATTTCTTCATTTTATTAACCTGGAGTTCCGAATATCAGTTGGATCATAATCTATTACAAATTTTCGACATATGTTTAAGGTTTAACGTGAAAAATGTCGTTGTTATGGTAAAATCTCGTTTGCACAATTATTTTAGTTTCTATTCGTATGAGTTGTATAGTCCAGATATGTGTGCTGAAGATATAATGTTGCGAGAAGTTAATCGTTATGAAAATGGTCAACTTAAATTTGATTTATTATTTCCGATAATTGCGAGTAATTTCTTTGGTTGTCCCGTTAAGATTTCTGCTGAACTTATACAGCCGTTTATAACATTTGATGGAGATTTGGGGAATGAAACTCATTTGATGGACATAAAACGTTTGGGTGGAATAGAGGGTGAAATTTTGAAGCTGATTGCAGAGGCATTAAATTTTAAAATTCATATGCGTTTTAGCCGAGACTTCAGTGTGATTGGATTACATTACAATTCAACCGGTTGTTTTAGTGATGTAAGTATTAAGTGCACATAAAATAAAGAAATCTATAGATTTATTTCCATTTTGCAAGTTGTTCTAACTGATCGGATTTTATTTCAGTTGGAGTATAGACGTGCTAAAATTGCTATTGGTGGTTTGAGTTCAACAATGGAATATCATTACCTATTCACCACATCAGTTGTCTATCACACAACACCCTATAAGTTTGTGGTTCGTAACGATATATATTTGGGACCCATAAAACAATTAATAAATCCTTTGGACAGACCTACGTGGATTATTATATTAATATTCTTCAGTGTATCCATATTTTTAATTCAAACAATAATTCGTTATAGGATGACAAAGCTGCGTGATTTTATATTTGGCATCAAAAATAAGAGTCCGACCTTTTATTTGATTATAACATTTCTGGGTTATGGAATGCCAAATCAAATAATACCGAAAAAAAATTTTGCTCGGTTAATTCTTATGTCATGGCTGTTATTGGCACTTGAGATACGGAGTGGTTATTTGGGTAAAATGTTTGATAGTCTAAGGCTAGGTAAACGAATGCCCGTACCTGACACCATAGCGGAACTAATTGCTAGAGACTATAAGCTATTGAATCCAATGTATACGAGTTTCTATCCCAAGAATAAAACTATGCTTTGGCAAGATAGATTTTTAATACTGCAGCAAATACAATCAAGTGAAAAGCACTTAACGGGGGCTGTTATTTTGGACTACTGGGCCTATTATAAATTTCAAAATCGTAGTATTACTTCTTTGATACCTGTTGCAGAGACCATACACTCATATCAATGTGTCATGTATTTCAATAAACATTCATTATTGCAGATTAGTTTCGATAAAAAATTGAAATTATTTACTGATTCGGGAATAACTGCACATATTGCCAAGAGACACGTTCATTCAAATTTTAAATCTATGATGAATACTCAGTCGCAGGATGTAAGTCGTATAACACTGGGAAATTTAAGAGGATTGTTCTACATTTACTTTATAATGATTCAAATTTCACTTTTTCTGTTCTTATTGGAACTGTTAACGAAGAACTCGAAACGATTGAGGATGCTTATGGATTGGTTGAATTTTGAATAATTTAGATAATTTAAAATGAAATTATGTATTTGCACTAAAATAAAAATATTTCTTACTACATTGCTCACATGGATAAAACAAAATCTTACTTTTTTATTGGAAGATTTACAATGATTTTAAAACTTGAAAGGAGATGTAAATAAAACAATTTATATTTGGATGTGCCAAATCTTAAGTCGTTGGGAGTGTTGCATTATATGTAGATGCACGCCAGAACTTCCTTAAAAAGCACCGACGGGGCATGGCCAGATTTGAGAGGATCTACAGCAATTTGTTGGTGCCATCGGCACGACAAAAATAGGATTGTGTAGACATCGGCTAATTGCCGTTTATGTAACATGAAGGAGGGTGGTTTCCTGCTCAGGGCTTCAGATAGGGCTGCATATGGTAGCAGGACACCATCTACAAGGTCAAGTGGAGCTGAACATATGTTATGCAATTGTCATGGTGCACAGAGCCTTAGGAGGAAATGGCTGAGAAAACATTTCATGATGATTAAGTTGATGTAGTATATAAGACCTTCTGAAGTTTAGCAAGGGAGTTGATTGGAATTTGGAAAATAAATAAAAACAATTCTTCTAATACAAACTCTACGATACATATGATCCCTATAAAGAAAAATTAGTACTTGTGTATTTCATATTAATAAAATTCAACCTAAACATTGTATGTTAAAAACCATTAACAGTGTTACACATCGCTAAAACAAATTGATATTAGTTAGTTAATTAAATTGGCAAAGTGTATTTAACTTATTTAAATTGTATTTTTTGTGCTTCTTAGACGCAGGTGGCAATGTTTGTACATGGTTTTGCCGGTCCATGTATAAGCACTTTGCTCAAGTACTCGAGCTATCTAATCTCTTGCCATAGTAGCCCCGTTGAGGAGTGACAGGTATCATGAGTCATATTCAATCAAACTTCGACAAAGAAAAAGGAAATCATTGGTTAGAGCCGATAGAAGGGGCGCACCCAACATCAGGTGAAACACCCTATTGATGCTATGAGGAATGCTCTGACTCTAACGACATTCTCATCATCTAAAGACTCACACCAATACATTCCTTGACCTACATTAAGTATCCCAACCACACTACTGAGAAGGCTCTATTGTTTCAGCAACAGCACCTAGGGACAACAAATTGGTTGTCGGAATCACGAATCCATTTTTAATTACAATACTTATTTCAGGGCCACAAGGTCCTGCTGTGATAAGTTGAGTATATTTTGGAGAAAACACCAACGCATTCAACCATGAAGGAAAATCGCCGATAAATTAAAGATTAAGGTATTAACAACTCCGCCAACGTCTCAGCCAATACCACCGCCATTCCAACCGTCACTCCATCATGCATCTTCTCAAATACAACTCAGAATCTATCTCATCCATCGGATACAAGTATCCGATGGTACATCGCACTCCAACGCGTACCCAGTCCTTGCATTACCAGCTCCTAGTTTCTAAGAGCGGTAACAGAAACTTATCCCGAAAACTATATTTCATAGTGCATCAATATTTTAACCAAGTGTTCCTTCTTGCGAATTTGGGTTTAATCAACTGACCGGCCAGGAAAAGCATCTGGCAACCTGTCAAATCATTCAAAGGAAAGGCCGAAGATACATTTGATCATCACCAGTTTGTTGTCCCGACAAACTAGAGATACTGGTAGCCCCTCTTTACCACGAGATTTTAATACATCAAGATGGGATCTATCATCATGGAATCATTCCCCGGGGGTAGGGATGAGTTGGTACAGCAAGCCCCTGTTAAAATTTCAATCCATTCAAGAGTTATGGATTTTGACTGCCTTATCGTAGAATGGTCCAATTTGCGACCTTAGCTACATCCTGCATTAGATAATCTGATGGAGATCATGATCAGTGCAGAATGTTCCAAACTTATCCGTTAAGTTTCGTAAAAGATGGAAAAAATAGAAAAACCTTAAAAGAGGATATTTTTATCCTTTGAACCTTTGATCAAAGGTATCTGATAATGAACTAAGCTTCCATTTTCGATGAAAACTTCGGTACCTAATATTTTGCATTCCACTCAGATATATGTAATGCACATATCTCTGGTAAAAGGTGCTAAGTTGGATTAATACCTAAACCGTTTTTATTGATTACAGATGTAACTTAAGTCAAAGTTATCCATGTTCTACTTCAATGAAAATCTAGCATATTTTTCGTCTAGTCTACAGTTATTTGGAGAGCCTCAAAGGTACTCCAGGTCCTCAGACTATTTTTTGCGGACAATAAATGAAATTCTTTATCATAGCGTCATATCATATCATCTAGAAATAAAACAAATAATAACCCGCTACCCATTTGATAATGGACATCGAAATGTTAAATTTATTTCTATTTGATTATAGTCTTACATTCTATGATAGTAATATACATACATTTTGCTTAAAATTAATTCAATCCATTCATTACTTCTCTTAACCTCAGCGACTGATACGTAAGCAATTCTAATAGAAATACAAATATTGAAATCGAAAACATGACACCACTTATTAAGTACAATCCTTGAAGATTTTCATTTGTTAGTCTGTTTACGAAATGAGATCGAGTAATTTTGCTCGGAAACTTAGAAGGAACATGCTTCTTTGCAATGAATGATGTAATGCCCGCTTCGATGAATATTTTCAATTTTCGATCGACATTTTCACGCAACAGCGAATGTTTTTGAAAATACATAACACGATACGATCTCCTTTACATAGGTTAAAGTACTGGTGTTTGAATTCATATAATTGTCATAAGCCAAAGAATCCAAAAGAGCCACTGCAGTTACTGGCGAAGTACTTTTTTGTACTATATCCAGACAATTAGTGGTGTTAGGCGTAATTTGCGTTTTATTTATGGGATAAAATTCATTATATGAAGATGCCAACAAGATGTAATCCTGCTCTATAAGATGTGAAATTGTTTGCGGTACTGGAATGCATTTCAAAAAACGCAGACTGTCAAACATTATACCCTGATAACCATTGCGAACTTGGAAAGAGATCAATAACCAAGAGGCCAAAAGAAAACGCACAAAGTTTCGTTTTGGTATTATCTGTATTGGTCTAAAGTTGCCGAAGAAAGTTGCAAACATTGAATGCATTTTATTTTCGGGACCGAAAACAAAATCTTGCACTTTTGGTTTTGTTTGCACTATTTTTGTCAAAATAATTGATATGGAGATGAAAATCAACATATGTAAATATCCATGCATACAGACATAAAATGTGGAGTAACTGTTTGATTGTGCCGAAGCATAAACCACTTCGAACTACAAATACATAGGAAGAAGTGTAATAAACTGAAGAAGTGCTGTATTTATCACTGTTCCATTGAGATGAATTGAAACCTCCAATAGCTATTTGAGATCGTTTCTTATCAAGCTAAAAGAAAATGTTTAAAAACTTAAGAGTAAAAAACATTTTCTATAACAGTTTGTTCTTCTAAACACGAACGAACATGTTCTGTCTTGATTTATGTGGAAAGTAATTCACAAATTAGAAAATTCGTATGGATTTAGAGGAACAGACCCTTAATCTTACTTACATCTCCAAAACAACCCAATGAATAATGAATACGACGAATTGCACTTATTTCTTTGGGAAAATTTAAACGAATTTTAACATTTAAAGCATCAGCAACCATTTTCAAAATTTCTCCCTCAATACCACCCAAGCGTTCCATCTCTATTAAATGTGTTTCATTGTTGACATCACCATTAAAACTTAAAAATGGTGGCATTTCATGAGCAGAAACATTTATCAAACAATCGCTATAATCGTTAGTATGATTGAGAAATAAAAAATTATTCTGTAGAGTTCCATTCTCATAACGATTAATTTCACGTATTATAATTTCCTCTCCACAGTGATCTCGTTTAGACATTTCGTAGGCATAAAAACTGATGTGATTTCCTTTATTTGGTTTGTTCATTATCACCACATTTCTGATATTGTAACTCAAACATGATTGAAATATTGCATGTAGGGTTTCGTTGTGTTCATCATCATTATAGGAGGTCCAAGTTAGCAAAATATAAAAATAGAATAATCCTTCCTGCTTGGTGCTAGGGAATCTATGGCGTATTTGTCTGTTAGAGAAAAATCAATGAGGAATTATACAATACTTATTAAGCAAGAAACAGTGTTGAGAACAAAGATTTCACCCTTTGTTAAAAAAGTGTTCTTTTCCCAGAAAACACTTTTCGCATTACCGACCTATTCCTGAGAGCAAAATATACATATCTCCTCTGAAGTGTATCAAACAAATTTGATACATATCAGAAGAGGAGTGAGGTATTTATTTCAATGTAATTTTCCATGGGCGTTATTCCCAGTTATAAACTTACAAAAATGATTCATAAGTATCCACTATAAACATATTATAATCACTTAGATGACCGTCGTAGAAATACAAATAAAACTGTATTGCAAATTCATCCTTTAAATCGTATACAATATTATTTAAAAGTTCTGGCTGATAGCTTTCCTGTTGACTGCAATGAAATATACAGTATTCTCTAATGAGAAGCGTATTTGTTTTAGGACTTATAAAATGTTTTGCCATATACACAACCAGGTTGGTGTATTCAATTAATTCTTTATTTGATTCGATTCCATCTAATGGAATTTTATAGCTCATAGTAGGTGGCAACTTTAGAACCATCACAATTATTATACAGTATTTTAACATATTTATGTATTTTTTGATTCGATGCAACTGTTCCGGTTTGAATGAAAACTTTAATTGAATTCGATTCTACATTATTATATAGATTCATATACATTATTGTATGAATACATTAAATAAATTTTGCTAATTTAATTAACCACTAATATCAATTTGTTTTCACTATCAAATCTTATCAGATGTGTAACATTGTTTACGGTTTTAATATTTTAACATACAATGTTTAAGCAGGATTTTATGTGTCGCACTATGCGGCATTTACCCTGAAAACCTAGACAAAAAGGCAAACATGAATTTAAAGACATTTATAAAACTGAATATACAGTTGAATAGACAACAAAATTCTGCATTATATAGTGAATTTTCAATAGAGTAAGTTGAGATTTGTAGTTTTGAGATGATGTCAAAGTCAAGAAATTGAAGAAAATTAAATGCGTTTTTAAACCCTCCACCACCATTAGTGGTGATAGAGGGTATATATAACACTCCATGTGTAACACCCAGAAATATTCATCTGAGACCCAACAAAGTATAAATATTCTTGGACCTTATGAAATTCTGAGTCGATCTATGTAGCTATGTCCGTCCGTCCATCTGTCTGTATAAAACATTCTCACGTTAACACGAAACAAATTAACAAAATTCACAGTTTGATATTGAAAATGAACAAAATCCGCTCACATCGGGAAAAGTTATGAATCAAAGTTTGAAAAAAACTCCGAAAAAAATAAGATTTTTTTACATTTCCTAATGTATTTTTCACAAAAACTGTGCAATATAACTCCGTGAAAATTATCAGACATTTGTTTCCATACAAAAACTTTATTATTATTTATCAGGTCCACAATTTCATATACCTCCTATAAAAATGTACATATACCCTGAAAATGAGTTTATTGTTAATAACTTCCGTTCGAATGGCGATATCTTCACAAATATTACTTTTATATACAGAAATATTACTTTAAATTTTTTTCCGATCGATCCATAATTGGTCATAGCTCCCATACTAGGTCCTCTTCAGAAAATCACTTAAACGCTCACAACTCATTACGAAATAACGATATCCATACAGAGGGGACGTTATGTGGGATCTAGAAACAATTATGGACCGACCATAATAAAACTTGGTAAAATGATTAACATTCATATAAAACTGATTTTCATAAGGGACCTTATGCGGGACCTAGGGGCAATAATGGACCGACCATAATAAAATTTGAAAATATGATTAAGAAATATATGCCTTCATGCCGAATTTCTTGAAGAAATTAATGTTTTTAAGTCATTTATGAATATTAAAGTGAATTTTTAAAGAAGACTTCATATAAGGACTAGGGTCAAATGTGATCCGATTTTCACCAAACTTTACACCATGATTTGTGAGTACAAAAATCTGAACTTAAAACTGCTAAATTTCAGCATTATTGTTGCATAATTACCATAATTATGTGCAAATAAGTGCAATTCGGAAAGGAATTTGTATGGCGGATAGGTGAAATAACGGACCGATTTTAACCAAAATCAGTTGGCTTCATCCTTGAGCCTAATGAACACTAACACTATCAAAAAAATCCAGCCATTAACTCAGAAAACGACGAAGACAATCCACCCTCACGTGCAGTACATCCACTAGTAGAATGGTGTAATACAAGGGGCCATGATCTTGTCATAGGATGTGATGCTAATGCCCATCGTACTCTGTGGTGGAGCTCGGATATTAATGACAGGGGTGAGTGTTTACTTCAATACCTTCTAACTACTAACCTAAGTGTTTGCAACACAGAGAAAACAGATTCATTGTGACAACCGAATTTGTTTCCAATCGAATTTAGTCGGTTCTCACAACTATGCCATAATTCGATTGCAATTACTGTAAAATTCGTTTACTATTACTGAATATAAGGTGTACACAACTATTTTAAATTATTATTCGGTAATCTGGATTGAAATTATCGGTATACGCAACTGAAATATTATTTATTGAAAACCAATTTGTGGATTATGTGTATCTTAAAATAAATTTTATTTTGTTTAAAACATTTACAATAAAATATGAATATGTATGTATGTAAATACAAACTTATAAATATAAACCAGCAACATTTCCCTTCTTGTTTTGAGATTTTGATGGTATGTAGTTGGGATTTTGCTCTTCATACTGTCCAACATTTCCAAAGCTACCTTTCCACGCTTTTTCGCTGCTGTAAAATGATTAAAAATTATTGAAAATAACCACAAGAGATTTTAAGATATATAATGGACTAAACATTACCTTTTTTTATCAGCATTAAGTTATCTTCAAATGTAATTAGATTTTTTTTTAATTATAAATTCGTTTTATTTTATTTATTTTTGTTAACGTCAACTATAATTATCAAATAATCGGTTGTGAACACCGAATTTGGTTCCTTTAACCGCAATAGTATTTTAAATAATTTTCCCAATTGATAATTGGTTGCAATGATCAATATTTTTACTTTCTACTGATTTTCGGTTACAGCGACTAATATTTGATGTTCTAAAGTTTTAATCCTAAATAAAATTCGGCTGCATTTACTGAATTAACAAAAGAATTTAATAACCGATACAATTCAGTTCAAATTATTGATTTGGAAATTGTTAAAACCACAATTCGATTATTATTATGGTTTTTTAATACTGAGTATAGAAAATCGGTTAATTATACAGTTTTTCAATAACAGCGATACAATTTTAATTAATTTAACTAAATATTTATCGTGGTAACGGATTTCCAATCGATCTGTTTTCTGTGTGAATAGACGTAATATTACTTTGGTATGGAACACTGATTCAGTCAGAATTCTTGATTGGAGAGTATCACTAGAATGCTCATTTTCCGATTATCACAGAATACAGCTTACGCTGGCTAGGGAAAACCCCTTTAGAAATCATAGGAAAACCGACTGGGGCAAATTTAGTAATCTGATTGATACCATACCACCTCCAGAAATGGATGGGCTACATGGTACACAAGACTTGGACGACTCAGTAGATTATCTATCCAGGACTTTAAGGGAAGCCTACTATGCTTCATGTAGGGAGCGGCAGGTACCTAGGAAATTCCGGCAACCATGGTGGAATCCTAAACTAATGCAGCTAGGGAAAGAATGTAGGAAACTATTTAATAAAGCGAAGAGGGATCAAAACTGTTAAGCTGGGACGATTATCGTCAAAGCTTCAATACTTTCAAGAGGGAAACCAGACGAGCTAAGATGGAATCTTGAAAACGTTTCTGTGAGGAGCTGGAGAGTACTACGGAGGCACCACGTCTACGTAAGGTGCTATCCAAAGACCCCGGTACGACTGGATTCCTGATGAAACTGGATGGTAACTTTACTGAAAGTAGCACCGAAACTCTGGAACTGCTTATGGAGACATACTTTCCGGGTTGCAGAGATGATGAAAATGAAGGCTCCACTTTGGAGCACGTCGCTTCTCGAATCCACATAAGTGAATTAGTCAGTTCTATTGTTAGTATGGAGAAAATTTCATCCCTCCTGATAATTTCTGTAGGGCACAACATGCATACCTGAAAGGGAGGTCGGTGGAGGCAGCCTTACATAACGTTGTCGAAACTATAGAGAAGGCACTTGACATAAAATAATATGTTATAGCATCTTTCTTAGACATTGAGGGTGCGTTTAACAATGTGAACATATCCGCAATAGTCGATGCACTGGGTGACATAGGTGTTGATCAGCGGTTAAAAATTGGACAGAGAACATGCTTAAGAGCGGGGCCATTAACTCTAATATGGGTATTGGACAAGGAAAGCTGTGACAAGGGGCACACCACAAGGTGGTGTCAACTCTCCACTACTGTGGAATCTTGTCGTAAATAAAATTCTTTTCAGACTCAGTAGGATGGGCTTCAAAGTAGTCGCGTATGCTGACGACGTTATGCTTCTTATTCAAGGGAAATTTTTTCCCATAATAAGTGAACTCATGGAATCAGCCCTCAGCGTTCTACTATCATGGGCCAAGGAAAACGGTCTGGGTGTCAACCACCCTATCAAAATTGATAGATGATTGGGCTTTGAGTGAGACGGAACTCAGGTGCTCAAATATCACCACTTGTAGAATATCGAGATTGTTCTGGCCCACTCTGACAACAGGTAGGACTAGGACTTTCTTGTCTCTTAGTAAGAACTCGATTAGGCTTCTAACTGGTAT